ATTGCATGAAGTATGAACTTCACTGCCAGCTCTCCCATTCATAGACCATGGTTAGGTGACCGAGCGTCTCACTTCTTTGACACCCTCTCAGTAGCAGCCCCCTGCACACCTGCTGCTACTCACTGTTCACTCACAGGCACCAGAGCTTGTGGTTGTGCTGCTTCGCTTGCCAGCAATGACAGCCTGACATTTTACAAAAAGACCTCATCGAAAGAGAGAGTTGACCAATAAAGATGAACACAAAGAAGTGAAAAGGGACAGTTTAGGAAGTGAAATTCTCCTCAAGTGTAAAGAGAAATCCATTAGAAGTAGCTGCTGTGGGAATGCTGGCTGGCCAGGAACCTTACCCAAGCAGGCCCACAGCTTCAGTGAGCTTGGCGTGGACGAAAGGGCGAGCCACCAGGGAGAGCCATGCTGGAGGTCCTGCTGGGTGAAGGGGCCCTTGAGGTCATTCATGACATTCAGGGGGCAAAGAACACAATGTTGGAAGGTGATTCAGTTCAGGAGCATGATAATCCACAAGGCACAGAGGAGAGGATTGTAAGGAAAATACCAAGAAGAAGCCATCATTCAAAGGCATGCGAATAGTTCAGGCTTTTGGAAAAAGTTCATTTTTGGTAATTGACGGATGACTTTCAGCATGTGGAAGGTGTTTTGTTTAGACTGGTCACAGCCCCTGAAGCACTGGATGAGATATTTAAAGGCTGTTTAGACACTGTCATGGTTTAAGGGAGAGGTCTCATTTTTTCACAGAATCCATTAACCCTGTTACCTGAACTGTGTRTTTGTGCCTGTGTACCTGTGCAGGTGTCCAGAATGTCGTTGGAAAGCCTTGTATGGAGCATGTAAACCTAGACTTGGACTTGGAGGCTCTGGGAAATCTGGTGACATTTGTGACTGTGTTTATAAGTGAGGCTAATTTAATCAGGCATTTCTGAGCGTTGTGGAGGTGCCCAGACTAAACCATTGGGTATTCTCCTGCATAGTTCAGGATAGAAACTGGACAGTTTACTAAGAATATTTGCCTATGAAACAATAATGGTATTTCCAACTTAGTTCTTTTATCTTAGTTTCCAAATGAAGAGGGAAAAAAATGTATGACCCATGAGCCACATTGGCCATTTTTATCATTTTAGTTGAGTTCTTCTGTGGCTTATAAGAAAAATTTAAGAGCATTCAAAGTGAAAGTTGCTGTTTGAATCTTATGGGTTTCTTGATTATTTAAAGCTGGAAGTTTCATTCTTTCCTCTTCAGTTCTGGTGATTTTTTTGGTGTTGAAACCATTGGTAAGCTACACTTTATTTTTAATTTTTCTGTTATTTTGGAAAGAGCAGCCACTATTTTTAGTAACATTTTCACAGGAAATCCCTGTGTTACTGCCACCCTTTCAGTTCTTGTTCCCTTTTTATAGCTGTATGATGACTTCCTGTAGGTGTTAATTACTCCTTCCAGAGATTTCCATCTCACCCTGCTCCAGGCAGCTCAGGTGAACCTTGGACTAGGTTACATTATGGACCTCTAAGGGGAGCCTAGCCACAGTCTCAGCTGCCCTGCTGGGTGGAAGGCTGTGAGCAGCATGCAGGTTGTTTCTCAGCCTGTTTTGATGCTTACCACGAGGTGGTGCTGGTGGGCTGGGAGTGCACTCCACATCGCCCCCCCCCCACCCTTGATGATAGGAAATACTTTAGGAAGTCACTTAGGATTATCCAGAGATTGTTTCCAGAGATTGTTTTATATCATGCTGAACACGCTGTCATTTTACATGGTGTGTGCCTAATAAGCATTTATTGATTTGTTAGTTTCTTGTGTTTACTCAGGGAAAAATCTTTATGTTCAGGGTTTGAGTAATCCTCAGCTTTGCTGGGCATTGAACCCAGGGCCTTATGCATGCGAGGCAAGCACTTTACCAACTGAGCTATATTCCCAGCCCCTTGAGTTTCTGTTTCCCTTAGCACATCTCATTTCCCTGTAGTGAGTGAGTGTAGCATTTCTTAAAGTGTACTCGCTTGTGTGCATATGCACACACGTTTAATATTTTGCCTTGAATATTTAATCTACAGTTACGCATTTTCCTAGGCAGTGTTCTCTTAAAGTCTTTAGCTGAAAAATAAAATATTGTCTAGTATTTGGAAATATTTATCAAGAGGATTTATAAATACAACTGGGTCAATAATACACAAATTGAAAGATATTTTACAAGATGGGTTATTTTGAATATCAGCTTTATGGAGAATATCAAAATCCCCTTTAGGAAATTCTCTGTTTTTCTTCTGAATAAAAGGAAGAATAAGAATGGAATTTTATTGCTGTAAAAAGGATACTAAAGTATTGCATATACATTAGGCATCCCTAATTTGCAAATCTAGAGTCTAAATGCTCAAAGACCTGACTCAATGCCCCTTCACCACAGCAAATGTGGTGTGTTGTTACCTTCTGGCCCTGTGTGTTAGGCACAGGTGAAACAAGTGAGTTGTGAGAGTATCTCTAAGATACTTCATTAGGTATGTGCAAATATTTTAAAACTCTTGAAACCTTCTTTCCCAAACATTTTAGATAAGAAGTATTCGACCTGTTTAACCCAAAATCCTTGAATATGAGATTTTGTATTTCATATTTGAGAATATTTCCAAATTGACAATTTTGAAAAAGCAATTAAATAGATTTTCTTTTGCTTTATTATTAATGGAATATTATGTTCTACTTTCTGACACTAGAATCATATTTTGGACTGTTTCCTATTGTAATTATTTTACTCATGGAAATGATCCATTCTTTGTTTGCCTGGATAAATGATTTGTGGGACAACAGTGTGGGAATACAAGCCTGTGATTTTGATGGCTTTTGTCTCATGACTTTTTAAGAATAGGGATAATAATGCTCTCTTTCTASTTTTTCTAAGTCACTGTTTTAAGAGGTCCCGTTGATTATTAAATGCCATTTCAGAGAAACAAAACCACCATCCCGTTAGATGAGCCCATAACTTTGGGCACATCTTTGTGTAAGTTTCTAATTTTAGAAACATTCAAAGGGTTTTGAAATACCCTAAAGACCTCCTAAAATGGAGGCCTGGAGCAGAGGATGGGGCCAGGTCTGGAGTAAACCCCCGAGTCTGGATGGAGCTGCATATTCAACAGCATCCATCCCTGTGAAGTGGATTGTAGGTGGAGGAAATGCAGTGGAGAGGGTGGTCCCGTGGCAGGAGGTTATTGTCCTCGCTGGGACGCTGAGCCTCCTTGCACAGGGTGGGTGTGATTCTTCCCAGTGTCCTGCGGAGGAAGGAAGAGACCTTAGCCTTTCCTACCAGCACCTCATTGGCTCATCTATAGCACATCTTTTCTAATCCAGCTAGGGGCACAGAGCAACCAGGGTGGCCAGTGAATGACCAGGTGCGGTGTGTGCAGTTACGTATTACGTAATGCCCCCTGCAGGTGTGGAGTGGACATGTTGGTGGAGGGATGGATGTTTTGATAGAAGATGACAGATAATTGTTTTAACTCCTTTCCCACCAACTCCTCTGCCAGATGACCTCGCTTGCTGGTAGTCTGGGGTTCCTGAGGGTAGCGGGAGGTCAYCCTGCATAAGTTACTCTTGCATCCTAAGTTTTGTTCACTTTCAGCTTCTGATTTAGAATTCCTCAGACAGCTCACGAGTGCAGGGTGAAGTACGTGCGTGCTGTGCACGTGTGGTCCCCTCTTCTTGCGTCCCCTTGCATCCCCTCTCCTTGTGTCCCCTCTCCTTGTGTCCCCTCTCCTGGCAACTGCAGCGCGCTCTATTAGGTAGCAGACTGCCTCCCTGGTCCTCCATCCGTGCTTCCCCTCTCCCTCCTAGGGCTGGGAACAAACCTGGCATTCCTCCTGGCTCTCCCAGCTGGGGGTGGTGCTAACGCAGGAACCCCTGAGGTGCACATTGAAGAAAGGAAACATTCTGAGATTTAAAAGGCCACTCCTGTACATTTTGACTTGACAGTGAGCTCTGCCTTTCATCTAAGCTATAGTTTTACACCAGTATTCCTATTAGAGGTTGGGAATAATTGTAGGGAAGAACATTTTACTAATAGTCTTCCTAAAGTAAAAAGATTGTTAAGTGACTGATGAGTGAAATGTACTTATTAGCTAAGCCTCTGTGTTTTCTTCTCTGCCTTTAGTATGTGAGGACTTAAACTCATCGAAAAGGTAGTATGATAATGGGAAATGTCACTTCAGAGGACTATATCCAATGCAGTCTTTTCTTAATATTCAATGACATTTTCTCTGGAGTACCTTATTTAAAATCAGTTTTTTAACTTGCCGTTTTCAATATGTTGCTTTTACAGCTGAACTTCTTCCCTCTCCTCCCACCACACAATTTTTCTTATGTGCATACGACCTTGTTAAGCACAGCCAGGGGACATTGGCCAGAGGTCTTAGAAGGCCTAGTAATCAATATTGACTCACTTATAAATAGAGGGCTGTTTGAAAACAGCCTTGTCTTTCCCAAATCTTTGTTTTTGTATTCGGGATTGAACTCGGGGGGTGCTGTACCACTGAGCTGCATCCCCAACACTTAAAAAAAATTCAAAAAATATTTAGAGACAGGGTCTTGCTACATTGCTTAGCACCTCGCTGAGTTGCTGAGGTTGGCTTTGAACTTTCGATCCTCCTGCCTAAGCCTCCTGAGCTGTTGCATTACAGGTGTGCACCCCACACCTGGTAGTCTTCCCAAAATCTTAACCCTCAAGGCTAAAGAGATTTCTCTTTATACTTGTGTTCTCTGCAAAAATGACCTGGGGGCCGCAGCGTGTTCTGGAGGAAACTGCGGTGCCCTGTTGGGGGCAGCCCCCGMCACCTCACTTTTCGCTGTGCCTGACTGCTTTTCTCAGTTCCAAATTATGCCCACTTTCACGTTCCTGTGGTTTTTTTCTAAATTCATGTTTTGATGGGCTCCAGCCACAATAATGGAAAGTGACATTTATTTACACTCTGTACAAGGACCCCCACAGGCCCGCGCCCCCCCCCCCAGCCTCACACGTCAGTATAGTCATAATATATGCGGACTTCCGACCTTCTGACACTCTGCAGTGACCTGATGCTCTCACTTCTGGTTCTGATGTTGGATTTCTTGAACAACCTTCTTGAAAATGACCTGCACATGAAAAAGTAAATTATTGGATCCAGGCAAACGTTGCACGCAGACAAGAAAAGCGTCATTTCCTCGCAGTAGTACAGGATCTTGTGTGCGGACTCATCCAGGAGCCTGTCCAGGTGGCTGAAGGTGAAGGGGATCCTGCACAGGTGGTAGGGCAGGAAGCAGGTGAAGAACACGGCCACGACCACCCGGATGCTCTGGTTGTGCTTGCGCTTCCGGCTAGACTGGCTGATGAACTGCCGGCTGGATTTGTGGATGTACCTGGAAATGGCAATGTAGCAGCCGATCAGAATCACCAGCACCACCACGAACAGGCAGCTGTGGACATAGACGACAGCCCGATGCCACCGGACGCCTAGCGGGTTTTTGAGCCTCATGCAGTCGTGGATGTTCTCCTGGGTGGGCTGGACGTTGGTGAGGATGATGTTTGGCAAGGACAGCAGAACTGTGACCGCCCACACGCAGCCAGACAGCACCTTCGTGAAGGTCACGCTGTACATGCGCGAGTCCCCAAAGGGCTTCACCACCTTCAGGTAGCGGTCGATGCTGATCAGCCCGAGGAACACGATGCACGTGTACATGTTTGCGTAAAACAGAACYGATGTGTATCTGCAGAGGATGAACTTGAAGTACCAGGGGCCAAAGCCTGCGTCGTGCACAATCCGAAAGGGAAATGTCAGCGTCATGACGAGGTCAGCCACCACTATGTTCTTGAGGTAAAATATGAAGCTGGTTTTATTCCTGATGTGGAAGAAGATCCACACGGCCAGCCCGTTCAGCAGGAGGCTGGCCACGAACAGGACCAGGTAGAGCACAGGCAGGATGATAGTGTCAAACTCGTTGTGCAGGGTGGCATTCGCTCGGAACCCAGCACTGGAGTTACTTGAGGTGAGACTCCCTTGGCCGTGAGCCCCGTCATCTGCAGGAGAAGTGAAGCAGGGGACATCAGTGAATGGCATGTTCACCTGCCAGGGCTCCCGAGCTGTGGATGCACTGCGGTGTTGGGAGTGGGATTAGGGGTGACCTCGGGAATTTAGGAACCAATTTCGCACTTTGTTAATGCTTTGAGAGGCTAGAGAGTGGGTGGCCTCCCCTCCCCCACACCTGGTCCTGAGTGAAAAGTCATGCTCCTGATTCTCAGTGACTTGGCCTTTTGAAAATGGGCGTTATCACTGTAGATTACCCTGACTTTTAATTCAGTGTTTGTCAGCATCACAAACAGAAGGAAGAAAATTGAAATTTCCTATAACAAGAAAGTAACATCCAGTGGGATGGTGATTTCTCCCTGGTCTTGCCGCACTCTGCAGGTCCCCAACCCCCAGYGTACCTGGTTTAAGCTGTGCGGTCTTCAGGAGTGGGGAAGGAGTTATTTTGAAGTTTTGCCTGTGAATTCCTTATAATACTTGTGATTCTTTAAAAATAAATATTAATTTTTTTTAATAAAAAGAAAATTTGTCTTCTAAAGTACAGCAAAGTCTAGGGTAGAAGTAAACTGACTTGCTCATTCTTCTAGGTCCATTTTCATTATTGTAGAAGTAATTAAGTTATAGGTAGGTGCGAAATCCCTAAGATAACCCGGGCTTGGATTACAGTCATCCCTAACAGTCATATTCCTTCTAGTACATGTTTCGTAAAATATGTTTGCATGGCTGAGAAGATCCATAGTCAAACACTACTGTGTGGTCCAGTGGAAAAGCGCTGATTTTGTTTTCTGCTTGTTAGTATTTAAGTGTACAACCAAGGAACGCAACTTGTTAAAGTAATTGCCGCCTGCTACAGTCGTCTTATTTACAAGGCTAGATTATACCTCTCATGCTTATTGCATGAGTTTTTAAAAATTTTAGCTTTCTTGAATTTTTGGCTCATGTGACTGAAGAATTCTCTCATACCATCCACCACATGGTCATGGAAATGGTTTACAAGCATTTATGTGCCAGCCATGAAAATGTCCCCTGATCCCGTGTGTGGGAAGTGTGGAGGGACGGCTGCGGCTCTGTGCCCTATACCTGCTGCCACCTTCCTGCAGGGGCACGCTTGCTCCCCAGGACTGTTCCCAGCCCGTCACTGCACAGGGCTGGATGCTCAGACCAGCCTGCTGTGCTTCCTGCCAGTGGCTAGAGGTCCCTGAGCAGTGTCCTGGGAGCCTCCCCCCGGGCTGTGCTCTGGCTCTGACTCCTCAGACTGCCCCTCTCTCCTCACAGCTGTCTGAGGGCCACTTCTCTCTCTGGCCTCTACCCAATTTCCCTTGAAGCCCATTCCCCCAGTGAAGCTCTTGGCCATTTGGTCTCAATTTGCCATCTGCCCTTTTAGAGAGCCCTGACTAACACAATTTACAGATTCACTTTTTAAGAAGAAGATCACTTCTGAATTTTTACTTCCTGCTAATTAATAATATTTATTATAGTTGCGTTTGTGTTTTAGAATGGTCTTGTTTAGGTTTTGGTGTGATTTTACCTACACTTCTCTAGACGATAGTCACTGTAGGATGTATTTTGTTTTCCTTCTTTGAAGAAATGAACTAGGAAAGATTGTTTTGGTGATTATAATCCAAAAACAGGTTCTTAAATTGCTGCCTGGAATTTCAGTGCAGGTTCTTCCTGATCAGCTTGGTCCTCATGCTAATTCTTCTCCCTTTATCCTTGCCGTGTTTTAAAAACTGGTTTTCCTGGCCTAAATATTCTTGCACAGGCTACTAATTTGTCCCTGGACTAGCCTGTTATGAGACCCACAGTATTATTAAGCTTTACACGTTTAAATGCCTGATTCAGCTGCCACCCGAATTACTGCTGCCAGTTTCAAATATTGTCTTGAACAGTATCATTCAAGCCTGTTTTATTTAATAAAGTGTTGTCGTCTAGGCTGATTCTGCACCAGAAGACCCAAATCAACATCAAAGCCTTTAGAAGCTTCTCAGAAGTGTACTTTTAACCAGGGTTAGATATCTGCTTGAATTGATTTACCGAATTAAATGACTAGAAGTAATTTTCATCTTTCCCAGAGTGGAGCCCTTAGGGAGGCAGAGGGGTTGAAGGGTCCAACCTAGGGATCCAGCTTGAACTGTGCCTTGGGACAGTTGCTTCTGCACTGAGTTTCAGAGCTTTTGAAAAGCCAGTGGGGGCTCTGGGGCTCCAGCAGACTGGGTGTGGGGTGTTTCAGCTCTTGCGGTTGCCCCCGGCTCTGTGTGCAAATCCACAGTGGAGTGGATATCCCACCCTGCTCCCAACATCCCTTGGGGATTGTGAGTCTGTTCTCTATGTCATTATAATATCTTAGAGTTTAATTATAGAACCAGCACTCCTATTAGACCATCATCTACCTAGCAATTAGGGATGTTATTAAAGACGGAGCCTTAAATCAGAGTGCCAAGAGACGTCTGTGTGTGTACTCCGTTCTGTACATGGAGACTGCCCAGCAGGACAGGGGCTCCACTGCCCAGCAGGATAGGGCTCCACTCCACAGTGGTGTGGAGCCGTTCTGTGGCTTCGAGTCAGTCTGGTGTCCAGCCTGGAGATTTTGTTACCTCCACAATAGTGGCTTCCTTTGTGTACATGGGGACGAACATTGGAACATAGGTCTTGTTAAACTCGGCTAGTGAGGCCTGGACTTGGGTTTACTTCATCCCCCATTCCACGCTGACAGCACAGCTTAAGCAGATTACTTGTTAAAACCTGTGCAGGGTTGTTTGTGAGCTAGCCARGTAGTGGAGGGCCAAACACGGCTGCCTAGGAGCAGGTGAAACCTATGCCTGTGGCTCCGGACAACATGGAGAGTTTGGCCAGCTTTCAGGGTTGGTCTGTGTCAGCCCTTCCTCTGCAACTGCCCTGCGCTTTTCAGAACTTGCATGTCCCCACTCAGGGGCATGATCATGGGAACCCTATGGCTTCCTTCACTGGGCTGTTCTATCACATGCTGAGAAAGACCCCGCCAAGCAGAGCCACCTGGGGTGTCACCTGAGGGAAGTTCGAAGCTGCTTTTGCCACATAAGGGCTGCTGATCTCTATATTTGTTGCTTTCAGGGTGGGGTGCCTGCCTGTTTAGTGCAGGTGTGATGAAGACTACGCAGGGAGCAAAGAGCAAGACCGCTGGACCTGCCCACACCTTCCCCAGCAAAAGGATGGGCATATGAGAACCCTGGTTCCATAAGAAGTTACCTGTGTATGACTCACAGGTGGCAGAGAGTGTGTGCGTGCACGTGTGCGTGTGTGCGTGTGACAGAGGTGTGTGACAGGTGGGGGTCTGGCTGCTTGTAGTAGAATGGGCATCTGTCCTCTGTGCACGCATGTGTGAATTGGAGGACTTTGTGGGCTGTGTGGGCAGATCCAGAGCTAACCACACGTCACTTAAAATTAAAGTCCAGCTGAGCACAGGAACAAATTCCGCTTCTCCTCTGCATTACCTCTTTCAAGTGTGTGCATTCCTTACTCAATCCCCATGTGGCTGTTTATTGGCCATTGCAGATTTGGAGAAAGTCCCAAATGATAACACTTAATGAAACTGAGTGGGTAAGAGCTGTCCTGCTCGCTCCTGAGGGTTAAACGCATGTCCAAGTGGGACACATGTCATTCTGAGCATAGCATCTGGTCCATATTAGGTGTGTGTGCGTCCTGTGATGTAAGGTACCAGATTCAGTTTGTCTTGTTGACAGGGTCACACTGGGAGTGATAGGGACTGGTGGAGAGTTCTGGCACCTCTGATTGTGGGGAAACATTGTTGCTAACTGGGGTGTGTCACTCTCTGGCAAAAAATATGAAAGTGCCAACCTATGTCATTGCTCTCCCTGCCATGTGGGCATGAAGTCACGCAGATTACCGGTCTGCACTATTGCCCCAGTGGCTCTTGTAGGTGCTCTCAAATGTGGCACAGCAGAGGGGTCAAGGTGTCCCCTGGGGGGCTTCAGCGACCCTGGTCTAGACCACCCATGTGGACAGTCAGCTGTGCTTTGCTTTCCTTTGCTTGGTTTTGCAGTCTTTCTCCAGGGGGTTGTTTTTGTCCCCTCAGAGGTAGCGTCTAGGTGAAGCCCAGTCTAAAGCAGTGATCCCGAGGGTGTCACCCTGGGGACACCATCCTTCTCGGTTGCCACTTCTTTCTTAGAAGCGAGGCTAACTGCTGGTTGGTGAGTGGTCCTGGAACCATGAGGGACCCCAAATCGCACAGTGCGGAGAAGTCACTGATGGAGCACCCCCACCTCTTTCCCCACGACAGCTTACTTGGTAGTCTGGCAAGTGTCAAGTTGAGCCCCATTCTTCAGTGATGCTTTGTGAGCAAAAATGCATKTCAGGACGCTCCGGGGGACGGCCGAGGCGTCGGATCAGCATCGGCGGTTCCTGGTTTGATTTCTAGAAAAAAGAAAAATGGCAAAAATTACAAAAAAAACCCTAACAAACAATAAAACAGTTGGGAAGGATTTTCTTTGGTTTGGGACTCAGGGGTGCTCTACCACTGAGCTACATCTCCTGCCCTTTTTATTTTTTTATTTTGAGACAGGGTCTTGCCACATTGCTGAGGCTGACCTCGCACTTGTGATCCTCCTGTCTCAGCCTCTTGAGTAGCTGGGATCATAGATCTGTGCCAGCAGGATTTTGAATATACCACGTATTAACTTTTCAGTAACAAAGTCATCAGCCACCAAGATTCAGAAAGCACATGCTGTGGACATGGATAGCCGTACCATACAAGTGGTCTCTTTTTGTGCCCTCATGCACCTGCTGTGAAGTGCAGGCTGTTCCTGTGCCTGCTCTCCCCCTGGAACCCTCTGTGTACCTCTGGGAAGTTGGTCAACAGCTCTGTGACCCAGTGTCCCCTTCTGAGAGAGGAGAGGCAGTAACTCTCCTGCGGGGTGGAAGGAGGGCGCGTAGCACCACTGGAGGGCGCGTCACAGAGGCTGGTTCTCAGTGTCCCCTCAGAAGTCTTGCCTGTCTGTCTCTCTGCGACCCCTGTCTCCTCTGTTTTGTCCTTGGTGGTGGTGCTGGGTTTGTATTGACCTGAGCAGGTGTGAACAAGCGCACGTGTGCTGGGACGCGTGTCCAAGTGGGATTGTTCCCACACTGGGGAAAGACCTGCGCTGGCATCCTGAGTGCTTTATGGGCTTGGGTGTACCCTGCGCCGCCACCTCCTGCTCTCTGGGTTCTGGTTCTGCCTGTTTACTCACCAGCTGTGTGACACCTGCAGGCTACACGACCCTTCTGCACTGGACTGTAACATCTGTCAGAGTCTCCATGGACTTAAGGATGGTCCTCAAAAGTGGGGCCGCTGACTAGGTTTGAGTGTCTCACTCTGGCTAAATACAGCATTTAGATGTATTTAGATGCTTGGCCACGTTTTGGTGACGAGAAGCCAAGATGGTATGTGTGTGCGGTTTTGAGAGCTGTGGAACACCTTGTCCTGCCCTTCTTCCCAGCACTGGCCAGAGAGGACATCCAGGGAGGTGCTCTGGGCGGTGTGCAGCCCACGGAGCTGCCTGCTCCGAGGGTGCCACTCGGGACTTGGGTGTCCCTAACTGCTGTCGCTCACACACCACACAGCTGCCGAGACCCGAGTGGCCGCACTCCTCAGGTGCAGCAGGCCACTGGCTCTTGTCGGCAGGTTTGCCAAGGCAGAAGGGAAGGGCCCCTGGGAGGAAAAAACAAGTAAGTCAAGAGTTGAGAGGCCTGCATCCTGTCATCGTATTCTCACTTCCATTTGCTAATGTCACCTGCAATTCGATATGAACTTAGTAGTAGACAGAAAAGAAACGCTTTTAGAAATTTTAGGAACACCCCGATTAGCTATTCTGAGGATTTAGGCCCCTTGAATAGGCACTGGGTGTGGCAAACGGTGGGCGTGTGGAGGCATGGTCTTGGTCACTGCAGCAGAGGCAATAATGAGGCTTTCCGTGTCCCCCCTGTTCGGTGCGGCCTTGTGTTAGTTTTTACCAGATCACAGGGAGGCGAAACCACGCTTTCTGTTTACGCACGATCGTTTCCTGGGAGAGTGACTGAGGAAAGTGACCTGAGCAGCACACCTGTCACCTTAGGCCTCTCTGTCCCAACCTGTGCCGCTGTCCTGTCCCTGCTGTCCTCTGGGGCTTCCCCAGCAGAAGCTGGTAGAGGTGGTGAGAGCTCAGAGCTGGCTGAGGGCCCAGACGGAACCTGGGTGAGGGGCTTGCATCCCACTTTTCTGGTAGGGGATTCACATTCAGAATATCAGAGAGGGTTCTTATTAAAAAGAAAATGACCCACTTGGTCAGCAGATTATCTGGTCATTTCACTGAGAGACCATTAGGAACCCTGAACCTCATTCATCCGCAGGGAAACCCAAGCAAGACCACAGCTGTCACCACTTCACATCTTCAGCGATGCCTATAAATAAAAGATGGTGGCAAGTGTTTCTGAGAATGTGGAGAAACAGGGTCCCTGCATGGTGCCGATGAGAATTTTGGAACCACCTGGGCAGTTTCTGGAAAAGTTCAGCCTCAGTTTTTCAGATAAGCCAGTGGTCCTACCCCTAGGTATACATTCACCAAGGGAAGAAAAGAGGTGCCRCGTGGACACTCACACATGGAGGTTCATAGTAGATCATGGCAGAACTTGGGGACTGCAGTGGTAGATGGAGTGTGGCACTGTCACGGGGGGATGGGGTGCTACTCAGCAATGTGAGGAGGTGAAGTCCAGCCAACGTGGGGCTGGATCTCAGACACAGTTGGCAAGGAAGAGAAGCCAGACATGAAAGGCCACAGGCCGTTTAGGTGAAATGTCCAGAAAATGCAAGTCTGGGAAGGCAGGAAGCAGAGAGTGTTTGCTGGCTGTGGGGCGGGGCACCAGGGAGCTTACTGGGGAGAGGAGAGTGCATTAGGCCCGGCTGCGCCAGCCTCTCCCGTTTGTGAAAACCACTGACTCATCCTCGTAACATGAATACAAACCACAGAAGTTATATCTCAAGTTGAAAAAGGGGAAAAGCGTGCACAGAAAGGGAACAAAGCCAGGCAGATGTCTCACTGTGCCACAAGCATGAGTTCCCAAGACCAAGGAGAAGGTGCATAGGACGACTTCCTCTTTAGAGGCAGGCGGCCAAGTACAGGGGCCACAGCAGAGCCCCCCTCCTGAGCCTGGCAAGGGCCACTCACTGCTTGTGAAGAGTGTGACTAGGTTACAGGTTCCTTCTTTTGGAATTGGGACCTTAATCCAGAGGCACTAGATGTGTCTGGTGATTTGTGCTTGTTCAGGACGTATGTTCCCATTTTCTGAATTCCTGGTGAAATCCTATGGAAGACTTGGGATTCTAATTATTTCGGGAGTGGTTTTGGAGTTTCCTGGGATCAGGGAGACTCTCCGGGCTTGGTGAGTGATGTGGTACTTCGGTGTGGCTGCTGGTTTCCTGTCTTGTCTCTTCTGCCTCAGCAGATGTTCCACCGCAGAAAGCAGGTGCTGGGAGCAGCTGTGGGATCTAATGTGAACCTCCAGGGTGAAGTCCATGGTGGAGCGAGTGGCCAGACTGCCGTGGGCATTTTAAGGTGCAGTCCCAGGGAGCAGTGCATGTGGTGTAGCAGCCAGAGAGCCCTGAGGATTGCCCAGAAAGAGTTGCTGGGCAGTTCATCCTGTGGGGATGTCCAGGGACTCAGTGCAGCACCGGGCCGTTGTGCGGGCCTCAGGGGCAGGTGGTGGTGTGGCCCATGCTGCATGTGCTGTGCTGGGCCTGCTCAGGGCAGGTGACAGAGGCTGAGTAATACTTTTGAGAGGAGGAAGTGGGGCAGCAATTTCAGACAACTCTCACTTTAAAAACAACAACAACAACAAAAAACAAGTCTGTTATAGGAAGGACAGAGGGAGTAAGGTGGACATGGACTACAGAACTGATGCCAGAGTTTGCAAAGCTCATCATTTAGTGCTCAGCATTTTAAAATGAGTTTCCCAGCTCAAGGGGAGTGGAAGCCCGTGCCCTGCCCCCTAGGTGCTATGGTGGAGGCCTGAAGCTAGTCTTTGGCTGACTCCTGGACTCCAGAAGCCTCCCAGTTTCCTCACCCTCCACATGGCAGATGATGTGAGTGTGAGGATTTGTCCATATTGGGAGGTGGGGGTGCGGTTGTGGGAGCAGCCTGCCCAGGTGCACCAACCTCCTGCTGTGTGCTGTGATTGATAGGTGAGGTGCCTGCTGCATGGCTGCCCTGTGTCCTCCTGCACCTGTTCCTGCTGATGCTGCTGTGTGCTCTGTGGCCTTAGCTGCCCTCCAGGAGTCCTGTGACTGGCACTTGTGCTCAGCCTGCTTCAGCTTGTCTCCACCCGCTGCGCTCAGCCTGGGATCCCTGCGTGGTGTGCCCCAGGAGGCTTTGCATTCTCTGCGTGTCCAGCACTTGCAGGGTGTTGCAAGAGGCAGCTTGCTGCAGAGGAATCAGGGCTTGGTTCCAGGGCTGCTCCTGGGCCAGAATCCTGCCCTGCCACCTCCAGCTCTCCAGCTCAAAGCTGATGAAACCATTGGAGAATGTGGTGTTTGTGGCAGGCCCAGGTTCCCAGTCCTTCCTGAGGCTGAGATGCTATCGCTACTCAGGGGCCTCCTGTTTGCCTCCAGCCACCCTCAGTGGCCTCCTGGGGCTGTCTTCCTTGCTCCTGCTTTGGTTGTGGTTGTGGGAACAGTGCTCCCAGGTACCAGTGTTTTCTTTGTCTTGGACTCTGAAGTCCGCACATGATTTGGTTTCTCAAGCATCCCTCCCTGCAACTCTGCGACCTAGAAATTCTTTTTTCTCCCACAGGTAGGAGGATAATGAGGTTCAGACAGTTTAATTAACTTGTCCTGACTCACACAGTGAGTGATGGGGTAGAGCTGGGGTTCACATTGAATCTGATCGGAACTGAAGCTGCAGCTCTTTCTGTTACACTGCTGGGGAGTAAAAGAAGGCTTCTGGGGGCTTATTTGGGAGATCGGGAAGAGGGAGGGCTCCGTTTTCCCTGCCAAACTTGTGAAGGACTGTTCAGCTTCCAAACTAGATCTCTAGTTTTATTTGCCTTAAAACATCAGGAAACTTCACATAAGAATCCAGATCCGGGTCCTATCCTGAACATTGGGAAGACCTGCTGGTACCAAGCAGGGACCGTCCAGCAGTTTTAGCTGCCCTGTCCCTGGGGAATGAGCCCTTACATGCTCAAAGTGCCCCTGCTGATGTCCTCCCCCTCAGGATCTTGCCTGCCAGGTCCTATGGTCACTTGACTTTGCGACCCTTGGTCCAGTCACCATTTGATCCTTTGAGGTTACAGTGAACCCAGATGGCTTCT